TTTAGGGTTCAATCTTTGGAGCATGAACTCGGTCCTTGGAGCATGAACTCGGTCCTGTTCTCAACAAAAAGAGGTATTTCACATGATTTTGAATGCATTCCCACAACAATGCCCCCATATCTTGCGTAGCGCCCGTCCATATTCTTACTGATATTTATTAAAGAGAGCTCTCAGGCAGCCTCTCCTATTTTGGTGGAAGCCACGAAGTACCAGCTACTATGATGGAGTTTTACTTAGTTAGGAAGTAAGCAGTGAGAAAAAATTCCTTCAAGTACAATACGAATCTCAACACTTTTACCTCCGAGAGGATTTCCTTGCAATTTCCAGATGAAGCACAATGGATCTCAAAAATTTTGCATGTCAAACTCAAGGGTTGCAGGCCAAACGCCCAAACCCCTTCAGCAGTTTAGTCGATGTTGTTGTCGTTTTAAGCGTGTATGCCTTCGACAACAGCAGCTGAGAGTTGAGATCATGGGTTTCAAAACGCCTGTTAGAGGTGGAAGGGCCATGCTGAAAACAAATTAGGTTGACGACGATGAACCGTCGAACTGAGGCGTGTCGTCGTCGACAACTGACACCCTGTTCATCCTCGAGACAGACACACACCAAGAGGAAAGTGCCATAGAGAGATGGCGTACGTGAAAACAGCAGACACTTCACCAACAATTTCGCAAGGAAACTCAGCAAAACATCGTCGAGACAAGTTCGACCCCGTGGTAGTGTTTGGGACTTATCGGTGATCACTTTGAGCCAATTTCTAGGGGAAACGTAATTTTGGGTTGCGGGTAGATTCGTGCAGGCTCTTTGCATGTTATTGAGGCTCGAACGGTAACGACAATCAGCCAACACAGATCCACAAGACTCATCCGTTGCTCGCTGCTAGTTCTTTCGGTTCTTGGGGGGTCATGGTCTAGCTTATGGGTCATACCAGATCCTCCTGGGGGCTTTCAATGTCAGGTCATGTGCGATGGATTACGTTCCATTTGCATAGGCCCAATTGTGCCCTTACCTGTGACGGTAGAGTCGGGCCTTGCTCCGTGAGAGCCATCAAGTTGGTTTGCTGCGTGGGTTCTAGAGGACCTTGAAGCAGAAGCTTGAGTTATTTCTTTGAGAGGGCCGATAGGTAGTCTTCTGCCATTTGTGTGTGATGATCTGCTTCAGAATGATTGCGGACCTCTTGCAACTTATTTGGATGGTATACCGTAGCTATTAGGAGGGCAATGGGTTCATCCTTGTGTAAAACAAGTCAGAAGCTATCTTCTCATAGTAAAATCTACTTATAAAGGACAGACTAGCACGACGTGGTGGCATCGGTTTCCGTGGACCCAGTCCCTGGCCAATTTAGGCCACCCAGGAAACCCAGCCTTCTATCCCTTTTGGTTACATTTACATTCAAATGTATAGAGGATAAAGAACCAACTTGCAAATGTGAGATGGGCTGAGACGTCGATTTTACAATTGATAAGCAAACGCTATCGAAAAGGAGTTGAGGCGATGTCAAGACCTTGGCGATGAGTGCGCGATTTAGCTAGCCGTTTGCGGTCGGCGTGATCGCGGCCAGGAATCAATTATTGGCTCGTACCGCACGACGCGGACGTAGCGAATAGCTAGTAGCGGGAATCAGCGCGAATTTGCAAAGCTTGACGATCGCCCTGCAAGGGAAAAGGCGGTACTTGAATTGAGACCGAGAAACAGCGAAGCAAAAGTGGGCAGGTCGGGACTACATTCAGCTCTAGCATCTCATGCCTTAAACTGTATTCACCAGCCTTAAGTTGGAGGCATACAGTAAATAGGGTTAGGGAAGGACACAAATCATAAGGAGGCACAGCTAAGCCACTTTCAAACTCTCAAACGCCTGGCTGTGGCAATCTTGAATCGCTGGATCCTTAACTTCGAGGACGCATTCTCTTTAAGCCACTACTGTCAATCCTCCCTGTCATCCCATATGTCATAAAGTCCATCTACTCCAGTCACCAACTCCTTAACACTTAACAATTGCCCTTCGACTCCATTACCTACCAATAACAAGTACATGAGCACGAATGACCCGAATGTTGTACTTTGATTTACAGCCTTTTTATCTGGCCGTAGCGCTTAAAATAGCGTAGAGAGCTTTTGAATGTGATGGAGATGGGACAAGGGCTTATTTTGCTGCTGTCTCGCTCATATCAAAGCCTCGTTAGGGCAGTCAGGCTTTCCCTCCCTCCAGGGCCATATAGATGACCCTCCACTTGGCCTTGGAGGACAACGATGTCACCCAAGCGCACAAATCCTCTAAGCGATTTCCGAACCCCGACAGGGTGACTTATGCACGGCGTATCCCAATCTAAGGCAAATCAATTCGAAAAGCTTTACACCATAGTTTTTTGTCTAATCTTTTGAAATCGAGGCTTGTTAATTGAATCTCGATAAATCACTAGAAAGGAGCAGGTGTTCATCAATGGAGTTTTCATCGTGTAACTGATGGATACGCCCGCCAGACATCAAGTTGGTGTTTTCCGTCTGTGCCACAATGCCCTTAGAATATTCTGCCGGGATCATGTGGGCCATTGCTGAAATCACGCCCGAAAAACAAAGAGTACCAAGTGGATCGGCAAGAAAACAACCAGCTAGCTTGGACAATATTTTCAGGTGGGAACCCCATAAAATTCACTAGCATTTTCTACGGTACTGCCAACCAGGAAGGGTGACAGGTATGCGAAAAATGAAAAATTGAATTGATTCTCGAGAATTAGGGTCAGATAAAGTGCAGCAGACAAGTTGGTACGAAAAGCAGTCCTACGGTGGCAGATTTATGGACCTTTGGTGTTTGAGATGTTGACTCACAGGCTCCTGTACTCCCTACTTGCCCTTTCGTTGAACATTCTAGAGCGTTTAGGCCAGGGGGATGGGATCCCCGTTGTGAAAAAGAGACCCGTCTGAGAAAGTCAGCTACCGCCTATTTACTAAATGTTATATAAATAACAACAAAGCTAATCAGGGCCGGCTACAACTACACCTACTGATCAGCTTTCTCTATTTTTCAGCTTAGAAAAAAGGGAAAGGGTTACGTGTCTCGAGTTTTTGGCTGTAAAGCCCCCTCCAAGCGCCTTATGTTCGACTACCACATAAAAGAAAACGGTTACATTCATGCTCTCGTAATAACTTCGTATAGCATATGACCTTCTGGAATTTATACATTTGAAAAATGGTGCTCGAACAGGTCAGTTAAAATGTAATATATTTTGCCATTAGTTGAGGTGGTGTGTAAAGTGACGCCCTTTACTACCCGTGTGGTCCCGGAGTCGAATCTCGGGTCGAATCGTCTAAGCCAACCAACCCTCCACCAGGGTGAGAGAAAGTCGAACCCGCTGAAAACCGAAAAGCGATTACGCCAAGAGAGGTACTGCCTTCTTGGGACCAGGCACCCAATCCAGTTGCTCAGCCGAGAAGCGCGTGGCCCACACGCCCATCCGGGTCAGATAATTTTTAGCCAAAAGGAGGAGTGGTGGAAGATACGAACTTTCTCTGACTCGCGACATCACCAATTACTGCAGGGGCTGCGATTCGCTCCTACTTCTGCGAGGGGGAAGTGCTGGAGGCCCATTGGCGCATCTCAAATGAATCAGGTTGGCGCAAGTGCTTTTGACCCTTTTTCTCTCAGAATGTTTCTATTTTAGACACAACCAGAAAACAGCAGGCTACAGACTACCGGCGACCTTCAGCCAGTTCCGTAACAAGCTTTCGAATAACCCCGGGTAACAATAGTGGGCTGAGAACCTTAGCAAAAGCCTAAAAAAGGATTCGCGCTCAGATAAACTGGGCGGAAACAAGTGTGGCATTTCTTTCGTCCGAAATCACCCATGTTAGCGAGCAGAACAAAGGCGTCCAGGAGCCTGATTGGATGGGTACTTCAGGGCCGGACTGCTCTTTCGGGGTAGCCCCGCGACTGTGTCCCCCGTCTCATATGGCGCTTTCATAGACGTTGAATGCGCGAGGGAAGAAGCCAGTTGATCGAACACATATGGCAGTGTGATTTCTGTCTTTCACGCACGTCTACGCATTCTTCAGCTGCGCTGAAAAAGCAGTATGTGTGTGACGATGCCGTCGAAATCGATCGAATCGTCGTTCTACACCTCCTCATTCAGAGCTGCTGCCCTCTGCGATCGATTCATCGTCGTTCGATCGTTTCGACTGATCGTCGCTTTCCTCATTCAACTCTTTCCGTCATGAACAATCGCTACGAAAAACAACAAATGTCTCCCGTAGAGGCCACCCGATCGCAACAACCATGACATCACAACTATGTACTAACGGCAGCGCTTCTTGACTGTCAAAGTTAGGGAAGTCGGGAGGATCGAAATGTCTGGGTGGGAAGGCCTTCGAGGAAGGTTCGGCAACGCGATTTCTCCGAAAGTTAGATGGGATGGTCGAGGGCTTTAATGTTAACGCATCCATTGATCATATCCTCGGATGTAGGGACAATTCAGGTCATACTACGAAATATATAAGCCTTGTAAATTGGTCTCTTCTGAATAATAGTCCTCTACGACTGGAACAGATTCAACAAGAAAAGGCGAAAAATCAGTGAGATCGAAGGCCTACAATCGCGGTAGGACCCACTCCTGTGAACTGACGATCAATGGCTTTTATCCCCACATTAATCATCACATCGTCTCAACCAGCCCGATACCTAGGACTTTATCAAGGCTGGTTCTCTGCCACGGCTATCGGCCAGTCGGGATAGCCAATACCTGGCTCTGGGTTGCCGTAACGGCTGGGTAGGCCAGTCCAATTTTCTTCTGGAATAGGGCCATTATTTCATTGGGTGCGCCCATCTTTAAGCATTCAATACTCAGAACCAAGAACTACATCCTATCCATGACAGAGGCCGAAAAACAGTCAAGATCGAGGGTCAAGAATCAGCTATCCGCACCGATTTGATACCCTGACGTCCCAGATGTTTGATTACGAATCAAGGAAGCTTTCCAACTATCGCGTTCTGCAACCAGAAAAAACCCCCGTCGCAGCGCTTCCCCGTGTTTGCGTACTCGCGGCCACGCCCACACCGGTTCACCCCATATACGGTGTCGACGGCGCATGCATTCAGCCGTGGAGGCGGGGCATGCATGCGCCACAATTGGTCAGCGGAATACGGTAATCGACCCGTTATACATTAATGGCAACACTCGACGGGTAACCCGTGGTCGATATGAATTTCACAATCAAATATTCAACTTTCGATGACGTCATCCGCTCACCGTGGTATCCGAGGTGTCGGCGACACGTCGTTTTCGTGGATTCGGTGGTGCGGTCCCCGTTTCGAATGTGAACTCGGTTCGATTTGGTTGTAAGTCGGAACCATCTGAACGACAACGATGAATAATCGATAATGACAACAGCAATTCACACCACACAGCATATGGTATATAGTCCTAACCAGTATATGTGACTATTACCGTAACAGCAAACCAGTTTCGACTCAAAAAACCCTTCAGCCCCAATTCGTGCGTGATGTGGTGGTGATGGTGATGGTGTGCTAATGTGACTGCCATTTTACCCCTCATAGACAGTTAATAACCCTTGAGTCAGTGGTGAAGGCCAGGCCGGAAGTGTCGTGGTCGTTGGACGCGAGACCACCGTACTTGAAAATGGAAACGTTTCACAGCCTCTCAATCCTGAGTCATGTTGTCATCAGTTAGTCATGTGATATAAATTTGAAGAACTTCGAACAAATCAATCAATACGTATAGAAAGCACGGGCGTACTCATACCTCCAGGTGCATTCAAACACGTTTGTATCAGCGCTTTGCCGGTATCCGAAGAGATCATCGGTTGTAGTTTCTTTGTAGCGTACGTATAGACGTGACCTGTTTCCGAGGCGACCAGTAGCATAACTTGCGTGCCCGTTAATGTCGATAACTCGTAAGCCTAAATGGTAGTACCTATGTAGTACTGCTGGGTCTTCATCTAATCTATCGATCGATAAGCACTCGTGATTCGGAACGGGTTTCTTCAACACCCTGGTAGACTAACTACCTACCTACCTACCTGAGAGGACTGGGATAGGTATGCGTCGAGATGGGGCCGACTTGGAGTACCAGAGGGAGCTGGTGTACTTAGGGCGACATCGTTATTTGGGGAGCTCCATACAGCCTACACAGCCCTCCCTTATCCTCCTAAGACTTAGTCCTAATCCCCCTAGAAAGGGACCAAGCCTGGGGGTAGGGAATATGGGAAGGGTGTAAGCTGCTTCCGTTTTTCTCGGAGTTCATCCTCTCTTTTAAGCTCAGTCCGCATAGCGAGCTTCTCCCTCTAAGTACACTAGCGCCGATTTGGATTGATTAGGGTCCAAATTAGCCCCTATTCCCGCAGCTCTACAACTACTCGAGTACGCCAGTAGCATCTCTATCGGGAGTAATCGACGAGTACTGGTCTCGGGCGAAAATGGCAAAAAAATCGGGATTATTTCGCCACGCAATATCTCAGAGTTTTGGATTACTAAAATACCCAACCCTGCCCTCTTCGTCTGTCAGGAATCGATAGTCTAGGACAGAATCGGTAGGAGAGATTTCCAAAATAAGTTGAGCGCATTGGTCATGCTGTTCTGAGTGACTGGAAATGGAGTTCTATTAGGCGTGAATCTCAGAGGTTTATGATTACGATACACCCAAGATGCCTCTTGGAACGAGGATCCAAAGTTCGTGAAAAAGTGTAAAAAATGACATACTTTTTTCATGATGCCCGTTTTTCTTTTACTAAATGTCGTATACCGTCTGAGTTTGTTGCCAATGTATTCCATTTTATCTTGACGCGACCTGAAACTGACTGTTTATACTTTCCGCCATACTAAATTCGAGTAGTGCGCCTGGCCACAAACCTTTTGTCTTTTTACCATTTGGCAGGAGTCCAGGTGTTGACGTCGACTCGGGCATCGCGGGTTGAGCGGACGACGACGAGCTCTGCAGATGATGCATCAGCTGTGCCAATTCCGGTGAATCTTCCATGAGCAGCGCTGAAATTCTACAGATACGGTAGCTGAATAGGTTCTCTGGGACCATATTTAAGCACAGCGACGAGAGCTAAGTTCGGCGCTATCGCAAGATATGGGGCATTGTGGACCTTGGGTGGAGAGGAGTAGCTTCAATGTGCGTGAGCAGTTCTCATTTCCGCCTAAATTCCTGCTCCCTCCTAAGCTTAGCCCTGTAGCATGCCCCGGTATCCTGCGATAGCGCCAAAAGTTCAAAGATCGCGAAAGAGAGAGGAGTGCTCGCCATGAAAGGACGGTTGGTAATCCACCACCACCACCCGTCACTCCATATATGAAATCTGATACGTCTTCGATTGCAGGTTTTACCTTGTTTGTGCCGATCGATAAGATCAATAACCATTTTTTCATTTAAGGACTTCCGTAACGGAAACAAGTGTGAACAAGCACAGAAAACGGATAAACACGATAACAAAAAGAACAAAAAAGGGCTGACAGGAAGTAACCGGTAGAAGTCTTACCTAGAAATTGAGCTTACCCAAATCACATAGGTTTACCTAGGAATTGTACCCCCCCCCCCGAGATGTCTTGGTCCACTTCCAGGCAACAAGTGATGGAACAGTTGGCTGCCCATAGCCGGCACGGTGGAAGCGACGGCGATGGCGAGCGCGACGGCCATCGGCTACGGTCATCATTCACGGAGATGATTCACATTTTTGCCATATCGCGCTGACATTATGGAGATCGCTCCATCTTTCGCAATCATCGATGATCCAGTCGGAGATTTGTGACAGTTGTCCGGAACAGACGTTCGGCTTATACAGGATTTGTGCTTAGAGGTGAACGAAAGGGTACTGGTGCTTGTTTATGGGTTACCTTGGGCATAACCTCTTCGGGGTCATAAAGTAAAAGTTCTCTTTGGAAAATCGATTTTTGAGAAAGATGGGCGCAATCGCAATATACGGGGTACTGCGGTGACAATGCATTTGAAACCGCTTCAAACATTACCTTTTTGGGAGAAATGGGCTAAGACATAGAAGGGCAAAGAGGAGACTCCAGAAGGCAACAGCAATTTTCTTTTTTTCCGGAGTTCTGCCCTCTTTTGGGCTTTGTCCGAAAGAATGCCCCCATATCTTGCGATAGCGTCGAGAGTTGATCAAAAGTCGTTCTCTGATAGGCGAAACAATGAAAACAATGCAATTTGCCCCAGGGCTGCTTGGGTCAGAAATGAATAACTCAAGCAGCACGGATTAGGAGGCCATAAAAGTACGGTAGCATCGAATTAGTGCAACACGGCCTCCACTAGCAATTTCACTTGGCAAATACACAACAGACAATTCGATTCGGGTAAATAAGTAAATAAATAACGAAGAAATGGCTTGATAGACGACAGCTGCGATCAATGACTTGAACCTATCAGCTGATAGCCTCGCATTGATGAAAAATGGAGGTACGTGTAGCCCTAGAGGGCCCATAACTGCGGCCAAAGTCCATCGGTGGCTGGTGCCGCGACGGGGTGCGAGCCTGGGCAAGAGTGAAGCCGGCGTGCACTAGTTATCCGCACCACGCCCAACAAACTGTGGTAATCAACGGCGGCAAATGAGGTAAGCGAGTGGGTCGCCGGTGGGCGACGATGGTGTGGTTGGCGGCATAAGTCATGGCGAGGTGGTTGGTATTGGGATCGGGGTCAATTGCGTTTTCCTAATAATAACACTCTGAAGAAACGACCAAATATTCGTTCTCTACACAGTTTTTGTGACGTTCGCGCTGGCGCGAGGCCGGGCGCGGCGAGCGCGACGTGGTCGTCGAGCCCGTTCGTCGCCGTGGCGCGCGGCCCCACCGACGATCGTCGTCGCCGTCGTCGTCGTCGTTGGTGGTGGCGGTAGCCGACCACCCATTGAGGAACTGGAACGGGAACACGGTAGAGGAACATTAGTAGCGCTCTCAACGATAGCTGTAAATGTTCGGCGCGACACGCACATGCACGCACACGCATTCCCATTAGTCGCCATGACGTGGGGAGTGACCGTATTCCACAGGACAGGGGGTTAGGGGCGAGGCAGGACCTTCCCTAGCACCCCTCCCCTGGAGCTTTGACTTTCCCTAAAATAGATGCTTCATAAACAACTGGATAAAAAACCAATGGTCGTACCGAGAACCGTTGGGTAAGGATGTCCCTACCGTACTAGCACAGTATCGGGCAAGACCCTTGAGGGATATGGTAACAGAGGGTCCTTGGGACGAAAATTTGTGGTTTCAC